AATATTTTAATTTTCACTACCTATGCATAATATATAATATATAATTATATGTATAGTTATATGATTGAACTTTACTATTTTCACTTTTGTGTAAAAAAGTTTCTATCATTACTGTCTAACTATATATATATGTATATTCTTTTGCATGTCCACCGAACCCCAAGCAAATTGTCTCACCCTTTCCCACCAGACACACCAGATAGAGGAAACTTCATCTCTGACCTCTGCCAACTTCAGATAATGCAAATTAATTGAATCCTTCGTGCTACTTAGTCTAGGTGGCAGCCTTTTTGCATGACAATTTTAAAATAACATGAAATACCATCGTGTTTAAAGTTACTTTACCCATTAAGTTTTTTTTCTTTTGGTGGCTGGATCAATATTTAGGACTAATTTTTAATAAGATACTCATTATCACAACCCTCATACCAAAAACAACTACTGTCTATCTATCTAACTTTGAATTTATATTAATAGCATCGTATGTTATATTAATAAATAATTTCATTAGAGTAAAATATTTTTATATATTATTAAAAATTAAATATTAGTATATTGTTTTTAGTATAAATATTTAATTTTTTAATAAATTTTGGTCCACATGATACTTTTTATATGTTAGTAAATGATTTTTTAATTATTGATTTTAAAGGATAATAATACAATGAGAAAGAGAAATTATTACTTGATATTCTATTTTAGAAGGCGAGATGAGATGAGTAAAAAAAGATAATTAAAATATAAAATAAAACGTGTGATAGATGATTTTAAAAAAATATTATAATAATCTTGAGTATTTTTAGTTTTGTTTTAAGGATAAATCTAAAGTTGAGTCTAATTTTATAGATTGTCAGAGTTAAGTAAGACAACTAAAGTTAAATGTGAATAACTCATTTTTTAAAAAACTTAATATTTGTTAACTGTGAAGGTTGAGATAATCAAGTTAATTTCAAAGTTGAATTTCATAGCATATTAGATCATCATTCTTTCTTGACAAATAAATTGTGAAAATATATTCTAATTATTCATAAAGACATTCGGTTTAATACCATTATTGTTGATCATTTAAAATTGTAATCATTCTTATTTTTTTAATACAAAATATTAAAAAATTACTTAAATATATTAAGCCATTCAATTTAATCATATTTATAAAAAAACTAATAAAAGTATTATACAATAAAATAGATTTAAAAGATTGTTTATCTTTTACATATTTTGACAAGACTCATTCATTTTTATTAATTTTTTTTATATGAATACTTTGGTATTTAGTCTCCTAAAATGTTTGTCTGGAATTTTAAGTTTATTATAACTAAAATTTTTAATATTAAAATGGAGTTAAATATTTTTTTAAAATATTAATTTATATATTATAATTTTTCGCTAATTATATTATGATTTTTTTATCATACAAAATATGTAAACTTAATATTAATTTAAAAATGATTTTAATTTAATTTTTGATAATTTTACACTAATTTGTTATAAATATAATTTAATCATCAGCTGATTGAACTGTAATTTATCTACGACTAGACCTTTAAACTGTTGTCAACCAGTACATTCAGCTGTCGAATTAAAACATTGGGAGTAATACAACTTTATAAAATCTACCATAATATTTTCAACATAAAAAGTTATCCTACATTGTTGGCCGTGTTTGAATCCAATTTGCTGATTATCTGTGAGTCGTGCAGGGACCTACATATCAATGTGTCAAATATCTAATATATATAAATGCCAACTTACAAGGTAATACACTAAATTATTGTCTAAAATTATAAATCTAAGTTAATTTAGTTTTAAGATTAATTATATTGACTGATCCGATATATGCTCTCAGACAATAGGTACCTGTACGTAAAAAGTAATGTGTAAATAATGTTTTTGGTTTGAATTATACATACAATATGAATGATTAACTATAATTTGTATTGATGCTTCCTTTTTATAAAAAAATAAAAATAAAAATGAAAGATTGTTTATTTTATCATCTAGAAAGATACGACATTACACTTGTAAACAGATTTTGTTTGTGATTTAATCATCGAGAAAAATACGAATATTTTGTGAGTGAATTTTGAACATAATATAATTTAAAAAATGCGTTTGCAATCTTAACGAGTTGGGAACAGTTGTGCAATTGATACCACAAGTTTGATTAGATAGTGGGGACAAAGTGTCAATTCAAAATGATAGTCTAAAAATGCACACACGGAGCCTCAACGCAGTTGAATTCCCCCCTTCCCTCACCTTTTTGGTTCAACGGCTATATACATTTAATCACACTCAATTTGATGCAATTCAGCGTGTCCTTTTCTTCTGCTTTCTTTCAAACTTCTATCTGTCATTTACAAACTATTATTATTATCTAAGCACAATTAATTTTAATACACTGTAAATTCGCTAAAGTTTACATTATTTCCACGATGTACCGTTGTGTTAATCATACAAATTGATATTATAATTTTTATTTATAGCAATGAATATTTATTGTTAGATTTACTTGTGCTAATGATGGGTTCCTTCTCCTATTTAATACGACTATAAAGTGATCTCTCATTAAATAATTTTAATGTGTACATAAAAAAAAAACCTCTAATGACAGAGAGGAGCACTTTCTGACACTCGTTTTTTCTACAACATTAGGATTAAAGAAAGGATTCAATCATTCTTCCAATTATATACTCTCATCTCTACATGTTCTTTTACACTTTTTATGGGAATATGTTATAACAATTCATTACTGTGTAATTTATATCCAAAACCACCAAACAGAAAGAATTAACAAGAACTACTTCATACTTACTTTTCTACGTGAAATCAAAGAATACACACACACATATATATAACATTTAACAATTTTTTTATGAATCAAAATATCTTATAACAATGTATAGTCGTGTTTAGATATTACGTTTTTATTATGAATAATTAGCTTTAGGTACAATGTCAACATATGATTAGTTTTTGGTGTAAAAATTCACAAAATATAAATTTAATTTAATTTAAATTTTAGTATTTTATTTATTTATTTACTAGTTTGCTAATATTGCCGAAGTCTAAACACGAAGAATTAGCAAAATTAAAATATGAATTGGTATTTGTAACATTATTCATATTACTAAGTCATAAATCATAATAATATATTTACTTCATAAATCATAAATCATAATAACATTATTCATTTTCTTTTTATCAAATTAAACTTGTTTGTAAAAAAAAAAATAAAAAATCCAGTACCATTCTTTAGGATTTTTCATGGAGCAGCGTCTACGTAAGAACAACTATTTGTCCCATTATCTAAAACAAAGCTCATTAAAGCGAATAATAAATTTATGTATTTATATATCATATAAAAGTCCATCAATTACAATTGTCATATAGAATTTTCTATAATTTTCATTTTTAAATTTTTTTTAAATACATTAATTAATTAATTTTACAATTAGTAACTTTATTAACAGTTTTCTTGACTTTTCATTTTATTGATATTTCAAAATTGTTAACTGTTAGTCTTATTCTTAAAGATTTCATTATTAAAAATAGAAAATAATCTGAATACTGCATTCCATTTTTTTAATTTTTAAAACCGTTAGTTATTTTGTAAAACATGCATAATGGTGTCATTTATTTTGAAATAAGCATTTCATAATTTACTGGACTATTTAATTGATACTTAGCTTGTCCCTTAATAAATAAATCTGATAGCCGCGGATGGTAAATTATCATCAAATAGACGTATTTTGTCAATGAATATTAATACTATACGACGATAGAGGTATGGTTTTTATTTAATTATATAATATAACATCATCCTCATAAAGGCAACATTTGTTTAAAAAGTTTGATACTTTTTTTAATGAAAGTATTATAAGGCCTAACGGACGTGAAAGGTAAAAGTGAAAAAGTATTAGCATAAACGATTTTAAACAATTATTTAATGATACATAATTAAAATTTTATTTATATTTTAAAATATTAAAAATATGAAATATTCTTAATAGTATTTTTACTTGTTAACAACTAACTACTTACAATACCTTTAATATTTCGCTCGATCATTTTTAATGAAAGAATTAATTTATTAAAATTAATACAAAATAATCATATATATATATATATTATAAATTTATATTTATAAAAAATATACATAATATTAATAATATATATTAAATATATTTGATTATATAATTAATAAATTAGCACTGCATTAACATAAATTTTATAATAAATAATACTATAAAAACATTTTAGTAAATAATGTGTACAGAAATAATGTACCTGTCTCTTGTGAATAAAACAAATATTGGTAGTTATTTAGTTTATAAAAAAAGTACTACAGGGGTTAGCGGTATTATTGTAGGAGTAATTTTTATGAACTCTACAATAACTTTAATATTTTTAATAGTGACATCTTAACGAAATCAATTTATGTTATCGTGATAATTGAAAAAATTAATTATTTTTAAAATATATTTATTAATACTGAGTAATATGTAAAATAAGAATAAATATTAAAATTTAAATTTTAATATATTTTATTAATAAGAATTAAATTCGCATTCTACAAAATTGCTAGTTCAAATCTCACTACCGAAATAAAAATTTTTATTGGCAAATGATGGTTTTTTGATATCTTATAATGAAAAATGTTAATAATATATATTTTAAAAATATATTCTTTAGTATAAGTTAAATTTATTATAAATATAAAAAATATTTTTAATTAAATAATAAAAATAATAATTAATTTTTTATGTTTTTAACAGTTTTTGTTTCATTATTTATAATATTATGTTAAATTATTATTACCTGTCTTTAGTGGCACCTTAAAAAAAGAATAACATAAAAGGCAAAAACCCATATAAATGTACCGTTCACGGTATTTTCCTAAAAGTTGACGCATGGGTTGATTTTGAAGCACAGAAGTTGGGGCTCCTTAACCTAAAAAAGGTTAAAAGGAAAAAATATAAAAATAAAATAGAAAAGAAAAGGAAAAAAGAAGGGAGAGGGTGTACCTGGTATTGGTTTGGAGGAAGTGGGATTGCAATTTACAAATGCTGAGGTGGTTGGTTTGGTTGGACTAAGAGAGAGAGTGTGGGGAATAGCCGGTTTTAAGGAAGGATTCATTGCATTACGAAATGTGCAGTAGCATTGCATCTGTGGCGTGGTATTGTCTATGGACGACACCTATTTTTCAATATAAGACTTTCTCGACACATATAAACATACATTCCCCCCAACCCATTACCTAACTTCATCCATTCCAATCCTTTTTGCCCTGCTCTGTGGGGTTTTCCCTCTCAAATGCTCTTCACCCTTCTCCCTCTATTCGCTCTTCTGTTTTCACTTTCTCTTTACATTCTTCCCAAATTTCAATTCTTTTGCCTGTGGTCATGCCTGCCCTTGTTAATTACAGTGGTACGCTTCATGCCTTTTCCCTTCAATACTCAATTTTACTCTTTTCTTCATTGGTTGGTCTTTTAATTATAGCTTTTGAGGTTTGTGATTTTAATGGGTAGGAAAATAGTTGTGCTTTATGCTTAGAAACCGTTTTCTTAGAGCTTCTTGTTGCAAAGAGAATCATTGATTAAATAGTTTGGATCTTCAGTTGATATGAAGTAGTGTGCTACGGTTTGCTTAAAAAAGAAGTTATTTTTCGTTTTCCTTTTCTTTGGTGGACTTAACTTGGATGGGCAAGTTGTATTCTGTTGAAAAGCTTAAATCTTGTGTGTGTGATATGAGATGAATATTCAGTTTTGGTTCTGGGATATCCTATGATGTGGAAAAATTTTGTTTTTGTGTGGCTGATTTTAGATTTTGTGGATGGGTTTTTCAGGTGATGATGAACTGTATCCTGGGGGTTCTTTTCGCCCAAATCCAATGGATTTGGGTCGCATGTACCCTATTGGCTCGAATTTGGATGTGTACTACCCTCCTACCAAGCGAGCTCGGATCGGTGTCCCATTTGTGTTTGAAACCAGTGACCTTGAGCAAGATCAAGAGCCTAGTATTGGGGTTCTACCTGATGAATGCCTCTTTGAAATTTTCAGAAGGTTCCCTAGTGGCAAAGAGAGAAGCTTGTGTGCCTGTGTATCTAAACGGTGGCTTATGCTTATGAGCAGTATTTGCAAAGATGAAATCGAGAGGACTAGTTCCTCTGGTGTTGAAACCATGTCTGCAGATGAGAATCAAGATATTGAAGGTGATGGATACCTTACAAGGTGTTTGGAAGGGAAGAAAGCTACCGATGTAAGGCTTGCTGCTATTGCAGTTGGGACTAGGGGTCATGGGGGACTGGGTAAGCTCTCAATCAGAGGAAGCAACTCTGTGCGTGGTGTCACAAACCTTGGCCTCACTGCAGTTGCTCATGGTTGCCCTTCTCTCAGATCACTTTCTTTGTGGAATGTATCATCCATTGCGGATGAGGGTCTGTCTGAGATAGCAAAAGGGTGTCATATGTTGGAGAAGCTTGACCTGTGTCTGTGTTCTTCAATCAGCAACAAGGGTTTGATTGCAATAGCTGAAGGCTGCCCCAATCTGACAACCTTAAATATTGAATCATGTTCTAAGATTGGAAACGAGGGTTTGCAAGCTATTGCAAAGTTCTGCCCCAAGTTACAGTCAATTTCTATCAAGGATTGCCCTCTTGTTGGGGATCATGGGGTGTCTAGTTTGTTGTCATTAGTTTCAGACTTGCAAAGGGTAAAGCTTCAGGCCTTGAACATTACAGATTTTTCTCTGGCTGTTATTGGCCATTATGGAAAGGCAATTACAAACCTGGTCCTATCTGGTCTCCAAAATGTGAGTGAAAGAGGATTCTGGGTCATGGGGGTTGCTAATGGTCTGCAGAAATTGGTGTCACTTTCTGTTACCTCCTGCAGGGGGGTAACTGATGCAAGCATAGAAGCCATGGGTAAAGGTTGCACCAACCTGAAGCAGATGTGCCTTCGCAGGTGTTGCTTTGTATCTGATGGTGGACTGGTAGCATTTGGCAAAGCTGCAGGATCTCTTGAGAGCTTGCAGTTGGAGGAGTGCAACAGGGTCACCCAGTGTGGGATCATTGGTGCCCTTTCAAACATCAAAACGAAGTTGAAATCTCTCACCCTTGTGAAGTGCATGGGAGTTAAAGATATTGATATGGAAGCATCTATGCTTTCTCCTTGCGAATCTCTCCGATCCTTAACCATTCAAAACTGCCCTGGATTTTGTAGTGCTAGCCTTGCCATAGTTGGGAAATTGTGTCCCCAACTTCAGCATCTTAATTTGACTGGACTCTATGGCATAACAGATGCTGGCCTTCTCCCTCTCTTGGAGAATTGTGAGGCTGGACTTGTGAAGGTGAACCTTACTGGTTGCTGGAACTTGACAGATAATGTTGTTTCAGCCTTGGCCAGGCTACATGGTGGAACTCTAGAATTACTTAATCTTGATGGATGCTGGAAAATCACTGATGCAAGTTTGGTTGCAATTGCTGACAACTGCCTCCTGCTAAGTGATTTAGATGTGTCAAAGTGTGCAATCACTGACGCCGGTCTAGCTGTTCTCTCTAGTGCCAGCCAACTTAGTTTGCAAGTGCTTTCCTTGTCTGGCTGTTCTTATGTATCAAACAAGAGTGTTCCTTTCCTGACAAAATTGGGCCAGACCTTGTTGGGATTGAATCTTCAAAACTGCAATTCAATTGGCAGCAGCACAATTGAGTTGCTGGTGGAGAAACTGTGGAGATGTGATATTCTGGCTTAATTATGATAGAAACAAATAAAACAGGCTAAATCAGGAAGACTTCATTGAACTGGATCTGGAATTTCAGGATATACAGTACATGTATCGAGCTATAATAATGAAATCAACAGGTGGTGACATTCAGCATGCTTTTTGGTGCTGATAATGCTATCAAGGGTGGATTGGTGGGGTGGTTTGTTGACTTGGTTGTTTTCCAGGGAACTTTGGCCTTTTTTGCAAGCATGAAAATGCTTGTTACAACAACCCTTTTGACCTTGGCTCACTGGAGGTCACATCTTTCATGGCCATTGTACCCTGAGAATACAGTTACTAAGTCTTGGTTGATGGTTTCCACTACTAGATAGTTTATGCTTATGTTAGCTCTTATTTTGTACCGCTGAATGTTCACTACTGCATGTTTTAGCTTCTGTCGAACATTTTCTATGATGTTACTCGGACTTAAGCTTTAGTTCATGTCTTTTGAAGTCTTTCTGTTATTTAGTTCATGTTTTAGTTCCTGCCTCTGGAAGAGGGTTCAGCTTGTTTTTCCTTTGTCTTGTCAGCGTGGCTGTGTAGTTCAATTTTAAGGGTAGGTACCTCATATTCAAGGACTTTGGTGGTGGCTGGGCTTTCATTTGGTTTGCCACAGCAACCCATGTTTTGGGTTGCTTTTTTTTTCTTCTTTTAAATCGAGTCCTTGTTTTTGTAGGCTTCTCTTGCTTGTGAATTGCACTTCGCAGACCGCTTTGGTTGTATTCTATAATAAAAATGCAATGTAAACTTTCATCTATGTTGTTATTGTTTTTTTCCTTATGTTGAGAATAATGGAATTGTATTCTCGTGAAGTGAATTTGGTTGGCAGTGAAAGTAGTAGGGGGTAGTATCCTCTCTTGTTACGTGTGTTGAAAATAAAAAGGGAACATTCTAGGAAATAAGATAAAGAGGTGGGGAATAACACGTTTTAGATAAAAACATAGTGATGTTTGTACGTTTTTATCACACTGCTGTACTGATAAGGAAGATATTCGTCTGGTAGGCTGCTAATGGGCCTTATGGTTGTCGCTTATCAAAAGATGTTGCTTTGTGTTGCACGATATAATAAAATTATAAAATATAACTAAGATAGAGATAATTATAAATGGTGTTAATTTTAAGTGGTTGAAATAATAGAGTTGTAAAATAATTTTTAATTTATTTTAAAGTTACATGTCATTATATTTTTTTTTCAAAAAAATTAGTTGTTAGACTTTCAAATGTTTTATTTTCAAATTAGTTAAGAAAATTTGCCATTATTTTAATATTTTATTTTAAAAATTTTAAAAAAATCAGTAATATAGTTAGAACATGTTTTACCTTTAAATCTTGAGACTAATTATTATTTTTCTCAAAAGTTCTCTCAAGATATTGATAAAAGAAAAAATTTTAAAATAAGATAAATTGAATAAACATTTAATCTTTGAAAAATTAATTAAATGGTAATTAAAAAAAAAAAAAAAAGGATTGGTGGTTTACACTTTACTCCTCCAAAAGCATAATATACTTCTTGCAAAGTAAACGTAATGTGAATGGAAAGATGTCATACACTATGCTGAGTCAGTGATGGCTTGGAAATAAGATAATAATTTGACATGTCTGTGTCTTCAAAGGCCGATCCTTTACAATAAGGAGTACATCTCTTCAGGTGAGGTGAACTAGACTATGACCCTTAACCACCTACCCCACCTTGCTACAACTTTTACTATGATGAGAAAAGCATCACTGCCCCATGATCATTGTGTGCCATTGGATGCTCAAATGTTAGGACTAGGAAGTGTGGTCAGCAATCAGAGTAGTGGGTTCTCTTTTGTTCCAAAATAATGCCCTGCCTAAACATACATATGTTGATGAAATGCAAGTTAAAAATGGTCTTAATTTGTTTCAAACTTTACAAAAATAAGAGGACAAGGGAGTGTACAAATCACATGGATAGAGGATGTTTCTTCAAGGATAGCAAATACCATACAAAAATCATTGTACAACATAAACTTTCTTCGCTGTGAGATCTAAGATGGCAAGATATGCAAAGGATTCTTCTGTGAGAAAATCTGTCTGTTGGAGAAAAGGGAACTTTGCATAGGAGTTGTTATCTGCCACAACTGCTCAGAGTCTTTTCCTCCAGTGACCAATTTGTCCTACACTATAAAGGCATCACCAAGCAAGATGCGGGACCTGCTCCACCAACAATATATAAATTTCATTTTTTTTATAAGATTCATACATTTAACTAATAATAAATGTATTAAAAAAGTCCATTAAAGTGCAGTAAAAGGAGTATTGTGTACTATTATAATGTTGCTCTATCGACTTTCGCAAATATATAGGTTGTATAATTATTAAAAGTGTCGTTGTAATAAAAATTGACTTCTCAGCAGATTATTAATTATTCATTAATTACTTGATTAAATTTATTTATGCAACGACAAACAATTGAAAGAGGTGGAAAAAATATGTCAAACTAAAAATTTTGAAGAACACGACATGCAGAGGAAAATAAACTTGTTAAGGATTTGATCTATGTTCGCCTCATATTTGAATTGTACACGGGAAATTTATAATTTTGGCTTGTTAGCAAAGATTTTATTTGAAACATTGTGTTTTCAAGACTTATAACACAAGCTACATGCATTAAGATCGAATCTCCAATTATACATATGTTTCCATCTTATTGGCTAAACATTTTGTCCAAAAATTTAGATATAGCGAACACCTATTATTATTCACGATCTAAAACTCAATCATGGTACTTTGTAACTATGGTGCTCGTGGTGTTATTTAAGACTAAAATTGAAACCTCACCTCAAAATTCACTCATGTAAATGCACGATACATATGAAAATTAGATGATAAAATTTTGCGAAAGTTAGCAAAACTTTAAAAGTTGACTTACCATAGTTGTGATGAAATTTTAGATAAATGATTTGTTGTAATTCCTTACGTATATTATATGATATTATGATATTTTATTGTATTTTTTAATAATATTTGTATTTTATTAGTTCATCAAATATGTTAAAAATGTATTTTAATTAACAAAATATACATAATTAAAATGAAAATGTGAATTTAAATACTCAATAAATATAAATACATGGATCAAAATTATTATTCATGAAAATATAAAAAAATAATTTATTAAAACACATGTATAAAAATACCCTAGTTAATAAGAATCATAACTTCAAAAGTGGGATAGACTAGAGGGTAAGTTGGTGCTAGGTTGGGAATCAAATTGTGGAGGTGGGAGACAAATGTGTATAGGTCTCAGTTAGGGAAGACCAAAACCTAGGGTGGTGTTAAGCTAATCTTGGTCTTCTTACTTAAGTAAGTGAAAACAATTTTTTTCCTCTATAGTTACCACTAGAAGGAATTGTTGTTCTCTTGATACAATATTATAACATGTAAAAATACAATACAAAACCAGTTCGTGTTCTAATCAGCTTATAAAGCGTATGTTTGGTCAAATTATTTTAAAGACATAATTGTTTTTTAAAAATAATATTTTTTAAAATAAAACATTTTCCAAGCACACACAAATGTCAATTAATTACTACTCATCTACTTCCTATCGTGGGATGTTTTGTATTACTCATTATAACTCTAACTACGTGACTTCAAAAGCAAAAGTTACAGTAGCTTACAAGTTTTGGTGACCAAATGAAATGCTCTTGTTATTGCCACATTTTCTTTGTAGTTATACTACAATTTTTATCCTATTATAAACTTTTCTCCAAGTTTTATATATGCAATTAATTCCTTGATTTTCAGGGTTTTTATTTTTGACAAATTTATCACATGGAATACAAAAAAATTGACCAAACACGAAATCCCTATGCATATTTATAACCTTGTTTACTCTTTATAAACTTATTTGATTACTACTCTTTCTTAAACACATCAAACGTAATTATCTTCTATGCATGTTTATAAGCAAAGCGGGGTGATACTCTTTATGATGAACTAGCATTTATTAGAAAGACAAGAAATTATGATAAGGAGATTACTTAATTACTTTCTTGTTATGGATCTTTTATTTCTTAGATTTTATATAAGTCAAACCAATAGAGGGTAATGGTAATGGAAGCCTTGCCCCGTGAGAAAAAGTGAGGTATCGAAATGATACAAGTAAAAACAAGTATGGGGAAGCCAACAAATTTGGGATTCTGGCTTCCATTCAATGAAGTGGCCCCTAGCAAATATTAACCGAATTGACAATAATTTGAATTGATTTATTGACTTGCATTTGTCTCTTTTCTAGAGGCAAACACTGTATGCTTGTAATGTATAATAGTGGCATTAGTATTATTGAGGAGCAGAACCAAGGGCAAATGACCAAAAACTCATGGCCACTCCTTGTATGGTGACAAGAGAAACATGGTGTAGTACTTCAATAATTTCAAAAGTTAGCATAGGGTAGTCAATTCAGCCAGCAAAAGATGAAAAGAAACTGTGACTTCAGTCATTCACGCTGAAAACCTTGAGTCAGAGCAGCTGTTGCTCTTAAAATACTTCCAAGACCAAAACTCTTCAATTTGGGACCCTTCAAAATAAAAATTTATGATATGCATCATTCATTGTATCAATGATCCATAGCAAACCCCTTGTCGTTCCTACTATTGCACAGCCATTACTTCCTATCTCTTTCTCCCAAAACCCCATCTTCACACTTCTTTTCTCATCATTTTTTTTTTCTTTTATAAACTTATGGATTTGCCAAAAACATACTCCAATGGACTAAAAACTTCAGTGACTCTGATTCTCATAATTTCTCTCACGTTATTTCCTTCTAATTCAGGTAAAAAAAAGACCATCATGAGTGTCCACTATTTCTACGTCAACTACATGGAATTCTAATGTTTACCTCTGTGTGTCACTTCACTTGGTCTAACTCATATTGTTTACATGGGCTGAACAGGAGGGTCACCTTCAATGAAAGATGGGAAGGGGCTGAAACAAAAGAAATTAGTATTGGGGTCAAGGCCTCCAAGGTGTGTTAACAAGTGCTTGAGCTGTAGGCCATGCATGGCTGCTTTAGTTATCTCTCCTCACCACAGGGTTGGCCACACTCACAAGACAAAAACAGCACAAAGAGATGAGGGCTATTATCTTCTTTCATGGAAATGCAAATGCGGTAACAAGTTCTTTCAACCCTGATAGTTGATAGCTTTTAGGTAGATAGTTCCTGAAATATAATTATAGTGGCATAGCTATATAGTCTATGCTTGAACATTTTTCAGTGTACCTGGTGTGTAGTATGAACCAAAATTAACAACCTTCTCTTGTCCAAATAACGATTAATTAACCCCCAATAAACTCGACTATTGTTAATTTCTTGATTCTTTGTTCAAACTTCAAACTTGGTTGATGTGGTCAGCATTGGTTGGAGCAGTATATGGGGTCACGGTGCAAAAAGTATATAATTTCATAGCTAGTTAGCTTAAGGAAATTATTGGCATGCTCAAAGATGTACAAACATGGAGGCCCCCAGCGACAAAACAAGGTTGGCCAGGCATTAATTGGGTCAAAATATATCAAAGCTGATTGAGAGAGAAACAGAAGGACTTCTTCATAAGACAAGTGTACTTCATAAATAAAGTAAAAGGAAAATAATGTTGGTAAAAAAAAAAAAACTTACACAATAACATATATTATTATAGTATTACACAATAGCATATATAAGACCATCGATTTGTGGGAAAAATTTTAAACTGTGAAGATTTTGTTTTTGGTTGCCAAATGAGGAGTGATTCCTTCTTTAAATATATTTTTATAGGTCTTATAATTATAAACAATTTTTTTGCTTCTATAATTTGTTGTCAGTTTATATTTCTGATAAAAATGAGCCTTTTTAATTTATACTATAAATTCCCATCAAAGACCAAAATATATATAATGTTGTTATAAAGCGGGAGATATAAATCAATCAGAAAATTTAATTATAATTAAAACGGAAAATACTTATACTTAAGGATTAAAAAAATATTTCAGCTTGCGATAATTCTTAATGAAATAAAAGGTCTATTGAATGAAAAGAATTTTTATTTCCCTATTCGTCTGTCTTTAGGGAAAAAAGAAACAAATTTATGTTGGCTGTTTGCTGATACTTATAAAAGATGAATTATTTTATGGTATTTTTTTTTGTCCAATTATTTTTTTCTTCTGGTTCTTAGACAGTTATAAACCCTTTTTTTTATTTAAAAAAATTGAGGTAAGGGATGGATAACGAACTTTAAGCCCAAGATATCTGACAAGTGTGAAGCCTTCACCGTTTAGGCTTACAGACAACTAAAAGATTTGAATTTCGTTTTTTTTTTTAAATTTTTTTTTGTTTTTTTTTTATGGATGCTATTATCCTTCGAGTTGAGTCAAAATAATTCTTTATTTGGCAAAAGACTAGATATTTCTTTTAATCAAGGAGAAAAGGCCTTTTCATCATTTATTGATAAAATTAATTTTAATATAATTGATATTAAATTTTTAATTGTAATTAATTTATCAGTCTAAATCAATATTGGTTTTAAATTATATTAAAATGAATTTTTCTTTTAAAAATATAAGAATTAATATAAAAAAATTGCGTTTAGTTTACTACCAAAATAACCATGAAAAAATGTGGGTTTCGACACTTTTTGTTTCTAAATATTATATATATATATATATATATTTTAAAAAATATTATTTAGTTAATCTTGTATATTTAGAGAGATTAAATGAACAAGTTAATTAGAAATTTAATATAAAATAGATGAAAATTCGAGAGATGAATTGTGTGAAAAATATTTTTTTTACAATTACTGTATCATTAATTTTTTAATGATAAGAAATTAAATAAAATACCATGATATTTAAAGAAATTAAAAATATATTTACGTTAAAAATAGAAAAGAATGTTTACACCAAAGTATAACTTAAAACATTTCTCTTTACAAAAACGGATCCCAGACCTTTGACAAGAATACCACGAGGTTTTACCACCGGAGCACATTTTACAGAAAGGCTAATGAGTTGGGAAAATGAAGTTGAAGTAGCATGCCAATTATATATGAATTTTCCCTTTAATTTTATTCTCATTTTTTATACTTTCATTCTTTACATATTATAATTAAGAAGTATTTTTCATTCATAGTTAATTTGATTTTATTGAAGCAATAAAATATCTTATTAAACAATAATTATTATTTTTTAAAAAAACTTAAATATATCAATCCAAAAATTGTTTTCAATTAATCATTTACTATATTTATATCTATATCCAAATTAGTTTGATTTTAAGAATAAAATAATATATAAAAAAATTAAAACACATGAGTTTCAAGATAAGTAAATATTTATATGATACAACCATTTTTGAAACTATTATTTTATAATAATTAATATAAGCTTCTTCATTACATTTAAAAAATTTTCTATTAATTACATATATATTGGAGTTTAAGCTAGTTTCCTTTTATAAAAAGTCATAATGATTTTAATCTTCATCAATCGTGTGTCTGGATGTGCTGGGTTATAAATCCAAAGTTCCCAACAGCTATTTGGGTAAGCATTAGTTCATGTAGACTATAATTGATAGCGACGCCACGAATATGTACTAAGGAGATAACTGTGTTCGACTGTTCGTACTGCACAATAGTTGAAATATCCACATTGTTATTAATATTTGTCTATACAGTCGCTCCAATAAATGCTTTGATTTTCCCCCACCACAAATAGTTCTGCCCTACAGGTAGTGCATAAATGTCTGATAACGGTAGAATTTTATTGTTGTTGGCATGAATTGAAAGGGCTATAGCGCAAGTCTACAGATGCTAAGACCTATTAACCCTCCAGACAGGGGTAGGGTATTGCAAGATTCGTAGATGACCCAACATTTTTTAGTAACACTGACCACCCAAGCCAAGCAAATTTTATGTTGTTCAAAAAAATACTTTTCTATTCTAATAACTCAGCAAGTAGCTCCTTTTATTAACAGCAAACTTAATTTTAATGTATTGCAACCAAACACTCCTATTTTATATTGTATTAGCATTTGCCTCAAACAGGCATGTTTGGGAGGTTGAATAGCTCTTCCAAACACACTACTTACAGATAGAACTAAGGAGGGAAAAAAAGGTTCTTAGTTCATACCATACCCGAACCAAATAATTGATTGATTTTGTAATCCGTTGAGGAGTAGATTCGTTACAGGATGCACTGCAATAGGTTTCTTTCCTTCTTTCCCTGGGATATCAAGCCATATTGTAAGTTGACAACGACACCCTTCTCCTATACGTTCCGTACAGTGTATGTTGCAATATGATGGCTAAAAAGCATGCCAGTGCTTAGTGCACATTTGGTTCCACTTATTGTAGAGAAATAATTACTTATTTCTTTCAGTTTCCTGAGATATTTTAAAAATAAGTGATTATTTCTCTAAAGTTGAAGTTGAAGCAAACATGATCTCAGTATACTCGGGAAACAGCCGAATCTTTGAGCGCTCTTCTATTTATATTTGCATCATACCCGCAAGAACTGGGTTATAAAGTCATTTGTCGAAGCAGATTTGAATTTGACATAGTCTCTGTCGGTCTCCAAATAATGTTTTCTAGTTTGGCACAAAGATTCTTGTAAAACTGCAGTAGTACAAAAATATGTTACTATCAATTTATTCACAAGCAAATATAAATACATATGCATGTAACACTGTATTTGTTTAGAAGTACACATGCATTGAGAAGCGGATGATAGGAAAACACATGGCTTATGGCAATAAGGATAAAATGTTGAGTAGGACAATCGAATTTGTACGTAACTGTGTAAGCAACTAAATGTAAATGTAATAATAAACATGGCAACAGGCCGAGTCTTAGTATAGCCATTAAAAAATCATTTGTGCGTGTGAAAGCAGGAATTCGTTGTGTTGTGTGTGTATAAAGGAGGATTCAAAGAATGTGAAGTATTGCAAATAAATTTCTAGGAAAACCCACTAGGAATTGCGAATAGTCCAGAAGCCAGGCTTGCCATCCTTATGACTGTTGAAGAACATATTTTTCCTCTCTCCTTTTTCTTAGATTTCTATTCAAATAATTTCTAACTTAACATCTTCTTAAACCATATTCAACCATTTCTCATCTTCAAAGCAGACAAGATGTTGTCGGAATAGTTTTAATGGACATCGAACTATCAGACAGAGAATAATTATCAAATGTACCATAATGCACTTAATATTCCCCATAGTTTCTCTAATCTCAGTGAAACAAGATCAAGTCAATCATAAATAACAAGGAAAAGGAAAGAATGACACAGAATATCAGACAGCAATAAACCCAATGTCAGACTTTGGCCATACTTTAAATCTACACTACTGGTGATTGACCCATGACCAAACTTCTCTCCATCTGCAAATGCCTAAAATGTTTCTGTAACGGGGCAATTTGTTGTTGTTGTTGATGAATGGCCAAAGTCAGTATCTGACAACCAGCTATCGGATTAACTTCGGAATTTAAAGATAAAAAAAAAACACATGAAAATTGTGGTCGGAGCAAATGATCATTCTTAAATTATTTTTTCCCTCTTTTAATAAAATCTTGAAAAGTTAGAAAAGGAAAATTGACAAGCAAAAAAGATTTCACTCTGGATGTTTGCATTGAGAATTGTGCACAGTACATCTCCCCTTTAGCATTAGCTATTTCATTCTGGTGTTTCTCATGGCATAGCTTGAAAGCATTTTGAGCCATCAAAATGAAGATATATGTACATACTGAAGCTAACCTTGTGATAGTCAAAAGTATCCCCAGCTGCCTTCCGAACATCAACCATGAAAAGGGATGGTGCAACTTCAAACACCTTTTGACAAAGTGAAAAGATTATTTTAATTAGAATCTATGCAGAAATATAGTTTTCACATTAAAACTAGTAAACATAACAAAAGCAAAAACAAGTTACCTCCAAGACTACTGCAAATTGTCCAACCTTATTTATAGAAATGCCTTCAAGCCTCATCTGCAAGAATATTATTTTTAGAGAACTGATAGGTGAAAAAAATTTGAAAACCATATGACCATACTTCTCCAATCTGAATCAAGTATGAAAATCTCTACCTAGTCTTAAAATTAGACCACCCAATAATCATCTCTTTTGAATAGTTATCCCTACTTAGGGATAGAATGTCATAAGGCAACCGACCACCCACAGAGACCAATAATTTGGAAAGTCTGTTGTGTAGAACGTAAAGCTTTTTTTTGCTTAATAACATACTGCAATTCTAATTACTACTATGTTAGGACTTTGTTTTAATAATAAATGCATATTTTTTAATAACTGCTATGTGACAGTTTCTTTAAGGAAGTTATGTATTTTCCTTTGTATTGGCGTGGTAGGGTAAGGAGGCAGTTATGTAGTGTGAATGGTAGTTTTCTGTACAGATATAACCTCCATAGGAGTTTCTGATCTCTAGACAGCAAGAGATTACAGTAATATCTGTAATCTGGTGTGATTTAATCCTCATTCCATCTATTTCAAAATGTGTTGAATGTTATTGAAACACTAAAATTTAAAATGTAAGTTGGCTAATATGGCAAAATAGACTGCAGAGTAATTTTAATTATTGCTAGAATGGAGCAGCAGCAGTTACAAGCAACAGAGATTGCATTGACATCTGACGAAAACAGGATTGCTCTGCTCTGAATTCTGTGCAAAGTTCTCCTATCACATCTCAACACCAATTACTATCAGCTTAAGTATCTTGAGCCTATGCATAATCTATCCAACATTTATTGTGTAAAGTAGAGGTGAAGTGGTACCTTGTAATTGCGAGAATGGACCTTAAGACTCATTGACTCCGCAACTGCTTCAATAGATGAAATTATAACTTTTGCTGGTTTACGGGAAACAAATCGAGTTTGCCGCTTTACATAATCCTGTTAAAACAGGAAAGAATATCATTTGGCACACTGCACCGTCACCTTGAAAAACACAGAATCTGAACTAACTTGGAAGAAAGCTATATATTATAATATATTATGTTCATGTTACATCACTTAGATTCAAACAAGAAATCCTATGTCCTCTAATGCCCACCCAGGCAGGTGGAAGTACAAAAAGTTACGAGGCCAATGAGACATAAAGGAACCATGAGATTGTAGGGTATAAGAATAGGGAATGGAAACAACACCTGATGCCTGTCAAATAGAGGTGAAAGATTCAACCCTTGTGATAAGGCAATCATCTCAAATGCATTCATTATCAAAGGACCTCTCTCTGTGATTTCTGACCGTTCAGCAACATACTGGTCCTGGAAAACAGCAACATTGCCGGTCTATCTTGGATCAGCAAATGAGATACATACCACTGTTGAATAATCAGCAAAACATTTTAATTGCTCAAAAAGAGAATCAAGGGACCACAACCAGGTAAGTATTAAGTGCAAGTAAATTGTATGGATTTTGTTGGTAGTACATAGTACATACTAACCTCTTGACATGTGCCCCATGCATGTCAACTGCCAAGATGCATTATGTATGCTTATATGTTTTTAAAATTTTGTGTACATGCATTTTATTTGCATAATGGGAAGAAAAAAAATCTTAAGAGAGTTAGAGTTAGTTGATTCCTTTTCAACTCTTAAATGCCTGTATACTTGATAAATAAAGTGGCAAAAGAGTTTTGATAATTGTCCAAATTCCTAATGAAGTGAAGAAAGTGAATTTTCAAAGGTTTACATATTTTATCTGAATAAAAAATGTAAATGACCATGAGGGATGTTCCTTAAGTAATAGTATATATGTCCTTTCCATAATATGGCTTTACTGAATTCAGATATTTACGATTTCCTATTTAAAGGGAATGAGCTAAGTCATTATCCTCCACCAACTTAAAACTTACTGCAACAAGGTACATATTTTGCCATTTCTCACCTAGTATCAAAACCATAGCCTTAATGAATTTTCCCTCCACACGTCCACGTCCCCTTGTTAAATATATAGCACGTACACACACATTGCATTTGCAGCTATGGATATGTAACATACATTTGCAAAAAAAAATATGTTTATTAAACAATAGCAAACCTCAATATCATCAAATACAGCCTTCACATCATCCAAATTCACTTGCTCATCTTCCCTGAGTTTGACAGGCAAATAGTTTCTCTGGAACCATGGATCTTTCCTTATTTGTTCGATTTTCACCCGCTACATGTATAAAATTTTTCAAATAAGTGCAGATCATATGACTATAATTGGACTGGAGATAATATACTCAGTAGAACCATGTGTTAGATAAAAATTATTTTACTACCAGCACAGTGTGTCATTATAATGTTCCCCTGAATAGGAAAAGGATAAAGGAAAAATGAAATATATAATACAAAGAAATTTTCCCTGAACAGTGCATAGAATCAAGTCAAGTAGTATAAATATACAGACTTTATAATAATAAAAATGTGTCAAGTTAATCAGTGAGAAATACACTGAAAATTACACCATAATGCATGTATGTTCGTACTAGAGTCTAAAACAAAATAAGTTTAAAACAAATGAATAATTGAACTCACTGTTTTAGGATTAGGATCCAGAATTTTATGTATCAAAGTCTTTGCGCCAGCAGAAAACCAGAATGGGCAAACAAATTCTGCAGCATTGATCTACAGGTTTAAATAAAAAAGAAAAATCAACAAGAACAAATGTTAACATCTGGTTGTCAGTCTACATCACTGAATGCTCCTAAAATGGACATTTAGTGCACTCAGAAAAGGCTCCTCATGGTATCTATAAAAAAGACAAGGATCAATTGAGTTTTGATAGAGAATAGTTAAAAAGCATAGGTCAGAGGGATTATTATTTTCTGAAATGAGGTAACCATGTCAAGACAAAGGCATTGACACAAAAAATCTATTCTCCAGGCTCAAGCCTCAGCTATACCATCAACAGTACAAAATAAAATCCTAGTTCAGCCGACTAATTCCATTTTAAACCCACGCACACTACTGCTGCCTCACCATCACAAATTTTCTCTCTTTTTAACTACCTTCAGCCCCATGGAATTTCTTTCTTGCCTACACCTTCCACTCTTTAGGTCTAGGCTCATTTCCTAATAACGTTTTTTTCACCAAATGAAGCTCTACTAGATAATAAGCATGAACACAAGAACAATGCATCCAGCCATTTCATATTATATCACACAGCATGTAAACAACTACTAAAGTGTGGATGATACAACAAAGATTGTGATTACTAAAATTTATTTCTTTCATTTTGGCAATTTCACAGTCACGAACAGAACTGTGTGTTGACTTAGGAGTTCATTTTCATATTATGTAAATTAATTAAAGGTTATTTATTTAGGATATTGTTATTAATATTTTAAATACTAGAAAAGTGTTATATCCTCGTTTCATATTATCTTTAGAGACTAATTTTTCTATATTAAGATTAGCTTGAGATTTAAATTAAAATGTAAATTAACAGTATTCCACTGGTCTTTTTGTCCATTACATTCACTATTTACATTATTCCATCTTCTTTCTAGCTCTTTTAAGCCTCTGATTATCATAAGGGAAAGGTAGAATACCCTTCTGTAAAGTGTTGGAAGGTCTGGCTCTTCAAAAGGAAGATATCCAGCCATTAGAACATATAGGATGACTCCACATGACCAAACATCAGCTGCGGCACCATCATATCCTTGATCATTGAGCACCTACAAAAGATCACTTTTAGTAAGAAACTGAAGCACATCAAATAATAAGTGACATCATTGCACTAACGGGAAAAAAATCAAATTAACCTCATATAGTCATAAATAAATCACTTAGAAGAAACATGCAACTTATTACAGACAAATTGCTACCGGAAGCAACTATTTGGCTTATGCATATAAATTGAATATATCAATGTCATGAGATGAGAAAAACACAGTATTTATTAATTCAAACATTAAATGCATAAATAATAAACAAAGCTGGAAATGACTCTTGTTTCAAGATAAAGGTATAACTGTTAATGACTATCATGGCATAATATCTAGCATCTAGTTCTATATATTGAATTAACTTTTAACTTTGAAGTGAAAAAATTTCTTCTTTAACTCCCCCTCAAAGTAATGATGTGTCCTTAATTTCTGATGTTTTAATTTAATTCTGTGTATCCTCCTTTTCAATTATGAATATATTTTATTTTAATTTATACATTTTTGGATTCTAGCTGAATTTAAGGGGCAGGGTGAAATGTGTAGATGACACTTGTTGTATTAATCTATTCCATCACTAGTGATTTGTCCATAACTAAAATTGATGTGGACAGTTGATAAGTCCGTAATTAGACCATTTTCTATAGTTCATATATTTATGTTTAATCTTTATTTTAATTAAATTTTACACTCATTTATATGTTAAATGTACAGTTTAGTATGAAGAGGCCACAAGTGAATTTTGAGTGTGTTTTGAGTCTAAATTAATGAAAGTTCAGAGTTTCGCAGCAGTCAACACGCTTAGACCCTTTCAACAAGGCCTTGCACGATCGTACTCATCTGCGGGGAGTCCAATTATAGAGAGATTTTAAGATTTTTAAACCCTATAAAAGAGATATCTCAGGCATCTTGTTAGACACCGTCTACATCTTGCCTTTCACTCTTTAATACACTTCTCATCTCGTTTCTCTTATACAAAATCTTTGGCATACTCTTGGCGGGACTTGGAGTTTCGAGTGATCATACTTGAAGATCAAGAATGACACTCTAATTTGCTATTTCTTTTGATTATGACTTTGTTTATGATTGTTTTAGTTCTTTACTTTAACATTAGTAACTAAATCTATAACTATAGCTTTTATCCTATTGCACATAATTATAATACTTATTAATTATATTGTTAGACGATCGTACTTCAATTAGTTAATGAATTTATAGGATAAAACGAGACAAAAGATTAGGTGAACTAAATCAATTTTTCTCTTTCAATCATTATTAAATTAACAAGTTCACAGGTGTTTTATGCTTTCTTTAAATGATGTCTTGCATGATCATTGAAGATATTAATTTAGAAAAAAGAATATTAATATTGCATGATCATTGCGTATTAATAGTATTTATATGAATGATTGATAATCACAAAGAAATCAAATTTAGAATTAAATAAAAAAATAAAATAAATGATTGAATGAGAAAATTCATACACCCTAAGTTCCTCTCTTATAAGTTCAATCAAGACGTATGTTATTTTATTTGCTTTTATTCATAATTAAATTATGATTCTTACTACATTCCACATTTTTTAGGCTCAAATGATTGAATTAAGATTTCTTAGTAATTGAAAATTAATTATTGTAGGACGATATTTTAGAAACTTTATTTTAGAACTCTTTATTACTTATCGACGGATACACTTATTTAACACAAACAACAATTATATCAAACTGTTAATTTTATCTGAGCCAGGTAGAATCATCTATAGGAAAAGGAGAAATCAAGGTAACAATTAAGAACGACATTTAGGTATGATGAATTTTACCTCAGGAGCAACATAATTTGGGGTCCCACAAGTGGTGTAAAGAAGGCGAACACCCTATATAAAAGAAGACAAAGAGGAACAAATGGAAGACATTATTTCTGCTGCTTCTGCAATCTCCAAAAATCATTATCTAGAGGGAAAGTGACAACTAGATACCAATGAGATGAAATCAAAATATTTTTTTTCTTAAAAAAACTCTGTTCTGTCATCTCCTTTTTATTAGTAGAGTACGTTCTTACCTGCTTAGTCAATGCACTCAATCCAAAATCAGAAACCTTCAAATTTCCATAAGCATCAAGAAGAAGGTTTTCAGGCTATAAAAGGGAAGAAAACAAATTGATCAAGACTAAGGTATAAAATGGTTAAAACATTTACAACTAAATGTATTAACACATAATATATTGTCTTTCACCTTCAAGTCTCTATGGTACACACCCTTTCTATGACAATGAGCAACAGCATCTACAAGTTGTTGAAAGTAACGTCTGGATTCATTTTCAGAAAGTTTTCCCTGCTGAACCTACAGAATACAGATCCATAAAAAGTGTAATTGTAACATAAATAATGAATAAAACCTAATATAATATCTAACCTAATATAATATCTCAACCGAAAAAAAAAAAAAAAACTAATCAAATCATTAACATTAGTTTGCTCATGTCTCATCAATGCATTGTTTCATACTAATTTAAAAGGTTAAACTTTGGAATTATCAAAGTAAGTTTAGAAGAATTAACCTCCAACATATTCCATATTATTTAAACATTAGAACTTACAATTTTATCATATAGTTCCCCTCCCATTACAAACTCAAGGATTATGTAGATCTTTGTCTGACCGGCCAAAACCTAAAATTGTAAGCAGTGTGAGAAATATAATAAGAAGAGAAAGAAATATGAAGTAACTCCTGACTTATGAGGAATTTCAGATATCTATACATACCTCATGCAACCTGACAATATTAGGATGCCTGACAATCTTCATGATGGATATCTCCCTTTTAATCTACAACATAGTTCAACTTAGAAAGACTAACAGCAAGAGATGGAAAGAATTACAACAAGCATTAAGAATAACAAACTACATCATCTCTTCCATAAACGTACAGTCAAGCACATAGTGATGGAAGTAGGACTTTGACTGCAGATGCAACATAAGATCCACTAAAAGACAACATAATCATGAAAATACTTTTCTGATGAGACTGGAGGCAAAGAGACATTATTATTGTTGAACACTTACACATTAGCATTGCAATCCATATCCATTTATACTGCAAATTTTACTTCCAGCTTTTAGTTCCGTAAAGAGTAGTAACCATGCAACCATATGTTAACACATACATAAATAATGACATACAATCCCATCGTTTAGCTTCATTGTTTTGCCTTATAATGATTTTCTAACAAACTGTTTGAGCGTATTCAACAAGGTGATTGGAAAGGGAATGAGCCTTTTTGCAATTGTAGAAAGGAATAGGTATTCTATCCCAAACGTGATGGAATCCCCATAACAAATAGGTGTAAAAATAGTCATCTCATCAGCTTTTGTTCATCCCCAAAATCCTTTTTGATCAAGCTGTGTTTTATTAGTCCTTTCCAAAACAAAGATGGCCGAGCCCGTTCAACCTAAAAAACACAAATTACTTTTTAAAAAAATCATTTATATCATACCAAACACAAAAATAGAATGGAACCATCAATCCATCCTCATCTATACCAAGAAAAATGTGGGAACGAACATTCCATCCCATACTCATTCCCTCAAAACCAGTCATCCAACGAAACATGATCTAATTCATCGCTCTTTTATCTCTAATTTAATTTAGGACAAAACTTAAATTCAATTACAGTCAACACTATTCTCCAATCAAAGTTAATATTTCATCTGGATAATAAAAATTGGCGGCAATTTCCAAAAAGAAATGTCCAATTTAATTGAAGAACAATACTAACGAGTTTTGTCCTTCATTTTGTGTATTATACGAAAAATATTAAGAAGACCTCAGTAGTATGAATTTGTATGAAGATCGATCAAGCATAAATTAAAACATATATAGTTGAAGTTCATAGAGAAATAGAAAGGAAAAAGGTAGAACCTGTTCAACCATTTTGTGCTTGAGAATGGTGGTCTTAGCCATCACTTTAATAGCCACGCTCTCCCCTGTCTCGGAGTTTATAGCGAACTTAACCTTCGCGAACGTCCCTTCCCCAATAGTTCGACCGACCTCATACTTCCCGATCTTTCTCGTTACCTTCCTCATGCTTTTCTTTTTCAACGCTCGTTCATTTGCAGGTTCTCACAAATTTCCGATTCAAAGGTGACCAAGGAACACCAATTGAATTGAGTCTTAAACTCTGTTCAGTTCTTCACCAAAAGGAGTATTCTGGAACCTGATCCACCAAAACCAAACTACACTTCCTTGCTGTTCCAGGAGTGAAGAAAGAGAACAGAGAAAAACAAAAAAGGATCACAAAGAGTTAAAGTAAGAAGAATTGGAATATTCTAGAACTCCAATGAAAGGAAGAAAAAGCAGCGAAGCACTTTTTCAAGTCGCCTGCGTCTGCGTTCCTCGGCGAAATTGAAGTCGGAGTGCAAGAACAGAGACACCTCAAAGAAAGCAGCAAAATAGTTGGGGATGTCTAATGTCTTTAGCAATATAGAAAGAAATAATAAAAACGAGGACCGGTAAATATAATATATCCGGGGTCTTTTTTAATATGAAAAAAAAAATCGTTAAAATACAGTGTTTTAAAAAAAGATAAAAAATATGAAATATTTTAAATATTTTTTATATAAAATCGTTCGTCAATTTTTAAAACTTTTCGTTATTATATTAATACTTACACTAAAAATTATAAATGAGAATTTTTAAATCTTATATTTTTATAATTTTTTTAAAGTATCATATTTTAATATATATATATATATATATATATATATTTTTAATTTTATAAAAAATTAAAAATATGTTTGATTTCCCTTTTAAAAATAATTTTTTATTTTTTTAAAAATATATAGTATAAATTTATACTAAATTTAAAAAAAAATAGAAAACTATTTTTAGAAAGGAAATCAAACATATCATAAATCATCCGTACCAATTATAGGTATTTTATTTTTTAAATATATATAAATATAATTATTAAAAATGTTAATTTTTAAAATTATTTTAACTTTACTACTTTGTAATTTTAAACAATATATATTAAATTTTCAAAATTTAATAAAAATATAATAATTTCAAAATAATAAAAATAATACAGTATTATAAATTTTATATAAATAAAAATATTTTTGTAGAAAATTTTTAAATGTTTATATAAATCAATAATATAAACTTTATAAATATATTGAGAAATTTATGGAGAATCTAAAATTTTATATATAAAAAAAAAGTTAAGTAACAATTTTTATTTTTAAAATTCAAAAAATAATAAAAAAAAGTAAAATTATCATAATAAATAATAGTACAATTTACATATTATTTTAAATAATTTTATCAACATTTATGTTATAAATAAGATTACTTCATCTATAAAGTGAGTCATTAATTAAAATTATTTTGTATAAGAGTTAAGTGTACTTTTTATTATAATGATATGTAAATTACACTTTTTATTTTTTATTTACTTTTTTCTGTTAATTTATTATAAATTCTAGAAGATAAAAGATTTTATTTATTTATTATATTATTTTATATAAATTTTAGATTTTTTCTATTAATACTCATTGCTTACAATTATAAAAATTCTTTGTTACCTTATATTTTATGTTTATAAAATTAAGTAAAATAATTTTAAAAAAATTATTGTTAAAAGAAATGTTATTGTTTAATTATTAACACATTTATTTTAACATATATATATATATATATATATATATATATATATATATACATATATATATATATATACATATATATTGTATGTACTACTAACTAATTCTTAAAATTACACGGGTCAATTTCGTACTTTCATTTGTAATTCTACAATTATAATATTTTATCAAAAATTATAATTTTAATATATTAATTTATTAAATATTATTTTTGTTATGATGTAAAAAATAATATTTTAAAGTTATGTTTAATAGTCTTATTTTTATATAAGTAAATATTTTGTAATTTTATTATATTCTTTGTATAATTTTTTATTTTATTTTTCATTTCCATAATTACTATATAAAGATAAAGTTAAAAATAATTAATTTTTTAAAAATTATAAAGTGACTATTAATTTAAATTAAAATAACAATGGTTTTTTTTATTGTATCACTTATTTTTTGTTTTCTTTATATCTCCTCTACTTATTAAAAAACTATAAATATCTATTGTATAAATATTATTTTTATAATAAACAATACAATACGATAATAAGAGAAATTAAAGAAACGATCAATATTAAGATTATGTTTGTTTTTTTTTTAGGATTTTTTGTTTTTAAAAATAAAATATAGTATAAATTATTATATTTTATTTTTAAAAACAAAAAATATTTTTTAAAAAAGGGAACAAACATATTCTAAATAAATATTAATAATATTTGAGGGTCTAAAAATTAAAATTAGAGAAAAATAAAATAAAATAGTCTATGCCAAGTTGTTAACGTCTCGATCGTCCCACGCCTCGTATTTACGTAGCATACCAGAAATTTGACTGGTTGCATGGTAGAAATTTAGGATCATGTTTAGCAGAGTTAGATAAACCATGGAACTGTTCCATCTGTAACAAATTCTTACTGGCACATGCAACAAATTAAATGTTTTTTACTATAATTTTTTTCTATTTAAATTTTTAAATTTCTTTGCAAGTTTATAATTCTTTCTCTTTTACAAGCTTATAATCACTTACTATTAATATAAGCTTATTATTTATTAATAATATTTAAATTTTATTTTTTATATTTTAATTTAAAATAATATTTTTCTATACAACATGTGTATTATAAATACAACTATAATTTATTAAAACTAAATAATATTATTATTATTTATTTACGTTAAAAGAAGTTTTTGAAAATATATAAAATATAAAAAAATATTGTTAATTCTTATTTATTAATTATTTTAAAATAAAAAATATAATTTTTTTATATACACATATATTTTTTTATTAAAAAAATTTATTGTGACTATTTATCTTTTATTCAATTTATTTCTTCTAAAAATATATATATTATAAATATTTAATTTATTAAAATAATTTTTAAAATTTTATATTTTTGATAAAATACTTTCGTACAGTATATGAGTTAAAAATGTTAGTATTAATATATATATATATATATATATTATATTATATTATATTATTTTAATTAAATTCATTATTTTTCTTACAATTTCAAATTTAAAAGTTAAAAAATTATTTTATGTATACACTTTTCGTTGTTAGTATTTGAACTTCTCTATTTTAATTATATTTTCACTCTCAATATTTGTCTTATTAAAACTTAGCAACTATGAAACATTATTTACTAGAGTTAGTTATTAATACTGTCACAATAGGTCATCAAGTGATCCTACACGAAGAGCCACCAATTATACAGATCTATTTTTGCTAATCGAATCTAACACAATATAGGGTCATCATCGACAAATAACTTGTCTGCTCAATTTCATTTATTGTTTCTAATAATTTTATTTTAAAAAATTATTATATTAAGATACATTTAGCACTTATAGTATTTAAATATTTATTTTTTATTTATGTTTGTAACTTGTTCGGCAATTACATATTAAATTTTTGTATTATTATGCTATGTGAAGTTATATACATATGTTTTTCTTTATAAATATTTTTTTTCTTAAATAAGTGCGAGTAATGGGTACAAGATAGATATGTGAGTATTCAGAGAGTATAAACACGATGATTAATGTTCATATCCATATAAGTATGGGACTAGTTATAAATATTTTTTTAAAATACATGTATAGAGATAAATATTATAGTACTTTAAACATACTCTACCCATTATCATTCCTACCATTTATATCGTAGTAAGTCAACCGTTTTATTTGAACAAGATAACAAAAAAATAAAGAGAAGGAAACAAACGGATAATGGTTTTTTTTTCCCGTTTTATAAGAAAGAAAATAGAAAAAAAATTACTTTTGAAATAAAAAAAATTCTTTGCTTCTATCCTATCTTGAATTTTAATTTAATTTTTCTCTTTTTTCTTTATATCGTACCAAATAGAAGGTTTATGCCTGCAACAATGAATTATTTTAAGTGTGTTCACGATTAATTTTTTAATGGGTATTTTTGTAATTATTATAGTTTTTATTTATTTAAAAATTAAAATAAAGAGAAAAACAAACGTCAATGTTAAATTTACAGTTCTGATGAAAGTAGCACGTATTATTTAAACACTGTTTTTCTTTTCATAACAACAATTAACATATTGAAATGACAACGGTTTCCAAGTTATTCTTTAAAAAATTCGTAAAAATATTCTATTGGAGTTTGTAGCTTTATTATTCTTCAGACTATGTGTGATTATGCTCCGTGGAATTCCTAAGAATTCTTTAATTCAGTTGATTTTCCCTTACACACAAACCAAGTTGAAAAAAAAAAAAACGGTTTAGTTGCACATTTGATAAAATAAAATATTAGTTTTATTATTTAAAAAGTGAATTCTAAAGAAATTAATAAAAAAAATTTTGTTTGTCATTTCATTTTATATCTCTAAATCAGAAGGAAAGAAGTACGGAAGGTAAAAAATAATTTTATATTATTTAAACAATAATTATTTATCGAACATCATTCGATATTCATTTTATTTTTCAATTAGTCTAAATTTTTAAGATTATGATGAATATCAGACCTCATGGAATCATAATCCACTGGAGTTTGAAAAAGCTGCTACATACTGCATTTTCAATGCAATAGCATATGATTCATTTGTTTTGCTGCTTTTGCACGTGTTCATTACAAAAGCTCACATTGACAAAATTTTCCCTTCTGTATTGTTTTCTTCTGTATTCTTAGCGGATAAGATTAGGAGTCACATAAATAAAGCACCTTTAATTATATTATATTCAAAATGGTTATCATTCCATCCTTTTCCACCCACGTCATTAAACAATTTTGGTCATAGTATTTAGCATTTCAGGTTGAGAACTCTCCCCAAGCTGAAATACGTGAAATGTTAGATGATTGTCATCAGGCTTTTCTCTTAAAATAATAAAAAACATTCATAGTTACGCTTTGATGATTTGGCAGGTTTAAACATATATTTATCTTTAAAAGAATTAATAATTTTTATATGATTCTTTTAATACAGATATTATAAATAAATAAAATTTATCAAGTGGACAAATGATTCAGTATCGAGTTTGAATTTTTTATACATAAAATTTTTTTAATAATAAATTTATTCATTATACGATTTAAATTGAATTTAGATTAAATCAGATAAAAAATTAAAATAATATTAAAATTAAGGTGAGATGAGAGTATTATCTTAAATTAGAACAAGGTAAAAACAGAAGCAAGACTTTGTAATAAAAAAATTTATATGTTATTAGTAAATGGGCTAAATAATCAATGATCTTAATCCCAATCCAACTCACACAATTAAATATAATAAACGAGTTGATCTTATAAGTAATCTCCAGTTGTTATTCTTAGTTTTATAAAAAAATGTTAGCTGTAACATATAATGCAAGGTTTGTTAATGAGAATTCACTCAAAACCTTCACTTAACGGAAAAGTATTGTTTATTTATCTAAGGCGGCATGATATTTAAGGATCCTTCTAACTAGTCTAATAATTGAAGTAGGATCTTTCAAACATAAATAAATTGAAGTTTGGGAACAAAAAAGAATATTGCCCATTGTCCAATAGTAATCAATAGCTTGTATGTTGAAAAAGCCAAAGCAGAGAGTGTTGATATGAGCTGTGTGATGATATCTATACGTTGTAGAAATCTATACGTTGACATATGCAAGTGCGTTTGGTGCTTGAATTTGTTAGTCAGTAACAAGGATCCTTTCTACCACAGATGGAGATTTTTTAGAGTCGATAGATGCTTTAAGCCCTCTCCTCTCTTTATATCTTCAAGTACAGTAAGTAGATTGAGACTTTTGGGTTGTTTCATTCACTAAACCATTATTTTAATGCCGAGATATTATGAGAGAGAGAAAAAAACAGAATATTTTTATTATTTAGAAGAAGAAAAATAGACAGCAAATGCTAAACATTTTTCATTCGATTAAAAATATAAGTAAAAATAATAATATATTAAAAATATATATTTTTAATATAATGATACATAGGCACGTAAATAAACAATTTCATTAAAATAAGGCTGCGGGGTATTATATTGGGTCTTTTTGTTTTAACTTCTAAACTCAATTTCTTGGAATTAATTTTTTTATGCTTTGAAATACATTGGGTTGGAGCAAAGATTTATACTCAGGAATTGTATAACTTTTTTTTTTCAATATAAAATAAACAAGCCTACAAAAAATAACGTGAAAATTCTCCAAATTGTACAGCATCTTTAATTGGATTAAAAATATTCAAAGTTGTAGTAATTCATCTTTTATTAATGGTTCATTATTATAAAAAGACCAAGTTTAATTAAACATGATTTGGGGAGTCTGAAAAAATGAATTTAGAAAAGAAAATATATGCAATGATATTATAATTATTAGGAAGGAGGAAATGACAAGAATGTCCTGAGGCATGAAACAGCTTGAGGCGGGACCCATAACAATCTCTAGAGGCGGTGCTGAAGCAATACAAGAAGCATCCAAATGGAAAGGCTGAGTGAAGGCGACTTCAACGGTGTGGTAGCCTCAGCAGTCACACTTCAAAAATCTTCACTCTTCCATCCACACAACCACCGTTTAACCCCATCCTACGCGTCCAAATCTCGAAAGCGGGCCCCGAGTCACGTGACACCCTCACGTGTGGGCCCGAATCAAGTGGTCCCACTCACGAGCAATCAACAGGTCGGATCAATTCCCACCTTCTCTATAATGTTTCATCCTTACATCCCATCTTTCTCACTGCTCTAAGAATAACATGTGCTCCATCCTGCGACTGTTCTCTTCCCCCTCTCTCCTCATCTCTGATTAGGGTTTCAGAGAGAACTGTATCAATCTCCTCCATGACAACGACAGCGACAATGCTTCTCCGAAGCTCTTCCACGCCGATTCTTAATTCATATATTCCTCACTCCAATTCCAAGGATTCCCCTCATGAACCCGAAATCCTTCACCGGATCCCGAGAACTCGCTCCGTTACGCTCTCCGCGTCGAGTAGTTCTCTCTCGCCGATTGACGCTTCGCCCAACAGAATGACGCGGGCGCTGTCGGAGACGGATCTCTCTGCGCGCCACAAGCGGAAGCCTCTCAGCCGCCGCATCTTCGAAGAAGACGAGGAGAGCGTGGCCAGCGCGGTCGGTTTTCGTTCGAGAACGGCATCGTTTGGTTCCGCGCTTTTTTCTTTCTCCGAGTTGGACGAGGGGGAAGATGGCGTTGGTCTCATGGACGATGCGGCGGCGCGTGTCTTAGTTGAAGGTGGAGGTGGCGGCGGCGCTGGTGGATGGGACAACAGTGATGGTGGAGGTTCGGGGTATTGGGATTCGAATCCCGGGAACGATAGCACGGACTTGTATTACCGGACAATGATCGAAGCCAATCCCGGGAATCCTCTTTTTCTTAGCAACTACGCTAGGTACTTGAAAGAGGTGCGTGAAGGTTTCCATTTCTGGATCTTCAAATCTTAAACCGTGTAAAGGGATGAGAATATGTTCGTGTTATTTATTTTATGTTGAATTGGTTTTGGGATGATGACAGGTTCGCGGGGACTATGTTAAAGCGGAAGAGTATTGTGGTAGAGCGATTTTGGCGAATCCAAATGATGGGAACGTGTTATCGATGTATGCAGAGTTGCTATGGGAGAGCCATAAGGATGCTTCTCGAGCTGAAACATATTTTGATCAAGCAGTTAAAGCCGCTCCAGATGACTGGTAAGAAACATCGACTCTTAGGGTTGATAATTGAGATTTCTCATGTATGTATGGTATTTTTGGATTTGAACGTCGATTACGTGATTGAAGAAAATTACTAATTTGGAATGAAATGATTACGTGAATTGAATACTACAAATCTTTAAGTATTTCTTGCCTTCAATTCTTTTAAGGATCTTGCTTTTGCCTGCCAAAATAAAATAAAATAAAATTGAGGATCTCGCTAACAAGGGACCGAAGGTATTGGTCAAGGAATAAAAATAGAAAAAAGTTATTGAAGACCAAAATCATGGTGAAAGTACGTTAATAACACTTTTCAATAAAACTTTATGTTTCTTATGGGCACGTGTTAGCATCTGTCATCTTTAAATAAAAATAATTTTATTCATTTCTAATAATTAACACATTTTTCATGCCAAAATTCAGTACTACTTGAAATAGGTTATGAAATAAAGGTTCAAACAAAAACACTGATATAGAAAAGGAGCAACATATGGTTCAGTAAATGGGACGGAATGAGTAAAAATTGTAAATGATACCATGTAATTGTTGTTTAACTCAGCCTGTGAATTAATAAAACGATTGTTTTGTTGTTGTAGTTATGTTCTAGCATCCTACGCTCATTTTCTTTGGGACGCTGACGAAGAAGATGATGTAGTGCAAGAAGATTCTTCCGAAAAATCTCCCAGTTTCTTGCATGGATCTGCGCCGCTGCCACCTCCTCCTCTCGCTGCTGCTTCTTAAGTTGCGTCCTCTGTTTTCTGGCTTGCATATGACTTTCTAACTTTTGTTTATACTACCTTAACCTTTCCTTGTAATATTTTTGGTCGATGAAAATAGTTGTAATGGTTTTTGTCCAACTCGTCATCAATGTAGATTCATGTAGCAATACACGAGAATAAAAGATGTGGGGCATTCTCTTTTCCTTTTATTACTTTTGATTGATTCGTCCAATCTCTTTCCCGTGGCATGCATGTATCATGTCATTACTTGCACATTTTTGGATTATATTATTTACTCTTGCAGAGATAGTAGCCAGATTTTGATTTTTAAGGCTGCTGACATAACGTAGAAACAAAGCAAAATTCGGTGGAATCGTGTGTTTGCAAATAAATGTTTGTTAAGGGAGCATTTGTTAGCTCGTGTTTTAATTTGTCAAACTGCCACGATAGATCCAATTATTGCCATTCAGCCTTTAAAATGCTACATATCTTCCCGAGGAGGGAAGAATGAAGTTGCAAATTTTCTAATGTGGACGATTGGAATGCCCATAACACCGTTTCCATTCACATAGTTATAATGACACTCTGTTCTTACGGCTTTCTTCCTCCGAAAGGGGAAAGATCGTGTTTCCATTAGCACAGAACTTAGAAGTCGTCTGATTTTTTTTTAATTATAAAATTATTACTTTATTTTTGTTTTTAAATATTTCTATTAAAAATAGTAAAAATAATTTTTTCTGTTTTTATTAGTTTTGGTATAGATATTTTAAAAAATGTCGTAATTTAATAATTAAAAGGGAAACTAGAAAATGCTTTTTGAAACCAAACGGACCTTAAAATTTTTCATTCAGTTTGCAGATTCTTACAGTTCTCGTTTTAAAAATACTTTTTGAAACCAAACAGACCTATAAGTTTCCTAATAATATCCACGTTTCTCATATTCTGGCATGGTAAGATCTGGTGCTGACAACACTTGAGAACAAATAAGAAACAACCTAGTTGGGGCAACGGAGCTGTGGCTTTCTTGGCTAACGATTTACAATGAATGCTACTGTCTTTCGCTCGTTTTATTACACAGAGGAACTATGCCATCACAAGATCCAGAACCAGCCAAGAACTGAACCACCAACCAAGCCAAAGCCAAGGAACCCTGTCATCACTATAGCAGATAACTCTGATTCTGAATAGGGCACTGACTTGGGTGCTAGAATCATAAGGACACTGGTGAGGTACCCATTGGAAAATCCAAGAAGAAATGTCAGAACCACCACGGGTAGTTCTGTTTTCAGCCACTTGGGCCCATGAAGAGAAACTACAAAAAGTGGATAGAATAGTAGCCTGGCTGTGGCAGCCCATATTGCCCTTGTGATAGATTGTGGAACATAGAAAGCAGTTAATGATTTCCCTATCAGATCAGCCAAATTATAAACTGTTATCAGCAAAATAGGATACCAATCCTTAAGAAGCTTAGATTCAAGATCTTCCGCAATAAATCCTGGAAAAATAGACAGAGTCACTATATAGATTATGAAAATTCCAAAAGCTGGCCCCTTTATTTTTCCAGCCACAGCCCAAAATTTTGTCCCTGTGCATAAGGTGCTCTCCTGATGAAGCCTCTGATGATACTGCTGCATGACTGGTAACTTGTGCTGCAAGTTGCTAAAGATAATGCAACATAGGAGGAAAATTGTGGCAACCATGAAGTACAAGTGAGCACTTATTTTAAGGCCCTTTGGAGTTTGTGGGAGTGATGCCTTGGTTATTATCCTTAGAATCGAAATTAGAATACCTGTCACACAGAAAAGATTCAATTAATTGTATAAGCACGAATTTTTACAGCACTGGACTTCAAAGTTATGACTGAATTTACTCTAATAGATTACTGAGATTCAATTTTACTGCAGAAAAGGCTTTAGCAATTACATTTGAAAACTAGAGGCGACCACCAAAGGCATCACTTTATCTCGTCATATCATCCAATTTCACTCCTACCAATTACCAATGGATAGGATTACTTTGTAGATTATAGCTGAAAGAATATGCTAAGTAGACACAAAACATAATAAATAATAATGAAAAAATAAAATATTGTGGTAGAATACAGTTCCCAGTTGAAAACCAGGAAAACTAGACTGTGGAATCTTTCTTTTTTTTTCCTCCAAAATTTAAAAGCTTGCATATCTGATATCATGGTATTGTTCACAACTTTCTTATTTCTGATATCTGGTTCTTAAGCAGAATTGTTGTGTTGCTGAGAATTATTTCAAAATAGAAATATAGAAAAAAAAAATCTACGAAAGAGGAAAGTAAATTGAACCTGAGGAAGCGGTTCCAGCAAAAACGGCTTGCATATACTGTTTTGGAAGCTTCCCAGCTGATCCTATCAAGCTTCCACCTACTAATCCATCTGCTAAACCACATATCACAACTGCTGCAACAGTCATGCCATATGCGCCACTGGGCCTCTCTTTTAGCTTTGTGTTGCTGGAGGTCCAATCTATGACTGGGGCTACCATGAGAGACATAACAAACATGGAGAACCCCAAGTTCATTCTCAACCTCAATGTTGTTTTGCTCCAACTTCCCCAACTCATCATCACAAGAAGCACCATCACAGACGATATCATATAAGCCACAGAGAACACCTTTTCTATGTGTTTGGTTGGGTAAAGGTAAGCAAAGTAATCAACTGCTGTGATCAAAGCATTCCAAGGAAGCAAGTTGCCAGCACCAAGCAAGAAATGAATTATGTAAGCAACTCGGTAAGTGTCTCTTCTCTCACTTGGATCACTAGTCACCAACTTCACAGCTTCCATTTTCTGCCACTTTTTTTCACTTTCCTAGCATTCGTGCTAAAGTTTGGTATTTGAATAGAGTTAATAAGAGGGTGTCGGGGGTGAGGATTATATGTGGAAAAAAACTTGTGAAACAAGTGATTGATACAAATAGTTGAAGTTCTACTTATGCTTGAGCTAGTTTGGGACTAGTTGACAGCTTTGCTGGCTACTCATACGTATATATACACATAGGCACGCATTTGATTGATGGACTTGGACATGGAATCAATATGCTTAATGTATGAATAAGAAAAATTATGCTCTGTGGGGACACCAACGAATGGGTGATATTAGATATACCATTTGGTCATACGGTCACACATGGGTAAGCTGTCTTGCAATCTCTAGTACTCGACACCCGATTAACATAAATTGGATGCTTGATATTCATGATAATGATCCTTTTTAATATAAGCCTTGTCTTGCATCTGGGTTATCCACAAGTTGCAAAAGATCTTTAGATCAAGTAAAAAGTAATGTAAATCAATAATAATAATAATATGCCACCAACCAATGGTTGTGTTCACCCGTAGTGAAAGTGGTCAATGGAGTCATGGAGAGGAGCAGAGACAAAGGGCTTGTCAAGCGTGGCCTTTGGCAAAAGAAAATGGGCCCTTGAAGCGTGTCACTTGGTTAATTGTTGTTCAGTTTACCTCAGCAGAATTTGATACTGTTTCAGAGAATTTATACAGTAGAGGTTAATCATCCCTAGCTTAATATATGTCATGTTGATTTATCAGTAGCCGTTATTCCAGGCTTTATTATTTTTTTTCACATATTGGTGGCTTGTTATTGTTCACCAATCACCCTTAAAGCACTGGCTAAAGACAGCATTGCAAAAGCGAAAGTTTAAGATGAAGTGGTATATAACCGAAATCATGAAATAGTAGCAAGCAACAATTTTATTGGTTAATTGTATGAGTGATAGTATGGGGAGCTTTTATTTATGTCATCAAGTCAGTGGAGGAGACAAACAAGTACCCAGTGATAGTGATTGCTGCGGGACTTAAACCTAACGATGTGTAATACAAACTGGATGGACAGAATTTATCAACTATAAAAGCAGTAGCAATGTGCCCTCCATATTGCAATTATTTAACTAGAGTCAAGTTTAACAATTTGTTTTGCTTCCCTCGTTTTGACTTTATTTTTTTTCCGATATAATTCTATACCAAATAAAAATTAGAGAGCAATCATTATGTGGTCATATTCCTTAAAAATAATGTTGCTTAGACAATGATGTGTTTTGCACCCTTAACCAGATTCAGGCCCAACGACCCATTATTCACATAACTTTGATTCATGTTAGATACGCAATTTTTAACCATCAATGGGTCCTATTCTTCAATTGCGTGCTTTGCCTAAATTCTTAAACTTTCCACTATATTTCTTTTTACGAAAAAAAAAGTAACTTTTTGCTATATCAATGAGATCTCTCTCACTCATCACCGATCAGGTACATGTTATGATGCCAAGAGTATTATACACAAGTATACGGTACAGTGTACGCCACTCCTTTTTTCCACACCGTTAGCACTATAACAATCTTCAACTACGTGCACAGAACTGCAGTCTACCAACTGAGAAGTGGAATTAGATTCATGTGAAAGTGACTTATCAATACTGAATAAATGGATTATTAACAAACGAAGCACAAACTTAAAAGTAGTTGAAACTAAAGGAAGGTATAAAATTGCATACCATCTCCTTATATCAGGGAACACATCTCCATGCGTGAGAATCACGTGATTCTTGAGAGTTCCAAGATATAAACCCATTGTCTCGTATCAAACTCTCATTGCTAATGTCTTTCTTATATTGCTGATTAATTATTAAAGTAATGTTTAGCTTTGCCATTATTGGATTGGAATAAACCCTAACCCAATATTTTTATGCGCTGAATGTAAAGTTCATTATTGATCGGAATAGCTTCTATTATTGGATTGTGGTACTAGTTTGGATGAAAAATGACAAAAACAATCATTCATGTTGTTCTATCAATTTATTACAAAATCTTAGTGAAAAGGAAAACGATACATAAGAAAATAATAAAAATTAAGTGCTTTTCCAAAACGGTATTCTCTTTGGAGGGCTTTGTCTCATGCTACCAACCATTTAAAATAGTAAAGTCGAAAAAGATTTTGAGCAGCGTGATTTTAGTTTGTCATATATGAGCTTATGATTCTGACTGTGATTGACGTTGTTAACATCTAATAGTCCTCGTTTGCATTATAAGATCTATCACCAAAATTGCACAAAAGTAAATGATTGTATTAGTAAACTTTGAAGGTACATAGATATGCAAAAGTTAAGGATAAGCTATTCATGATTAATTATAAGAACAATTTGCAGCGAGGCATGAGTGTAGAAGGGAAAGTTGTTCTAAGCTATGTGATGAAAAGGAAGTTCCCTTGTCCTTTGAAATACCAATGACTCTTATCTCATAGTATCACTTATATCTGCCAAGACTTCATTGGCTGGTGCATAATTAGAATATTCTTTAGTACAAAAACATTATTGGTTGAGCCAGACTTAGAATGATGTCCCATGTTCGGAGTAAACTCCGTTTCTCTCAAAAGAAGAAAAAGAAATACATGTGTGTACCACAGGGAGAGAGTGTAACCAACCACCTCTTACGAATCAATTGCAATTGTGGCTTAACTTTAAGGATACCCACTAGTTTATCTGAAAAAGGGATGTCATTTTGTCTGGCTACTAAAATATTAATTCATTTCTTCATTTTTTTGCAGTATCAAATTCTTGCTTTTCATCATACCATACCCGCCAATGCTTGACACATCTTACAAGATGCGCATTTTCATTTATGAATGAATAAAAAACGTTTTTGGGTGCCAAATTCGGCACCTTCTTCCTTAGTCAAATAATTAAATTACCTTTCAACTAATTTAAGTGTTCTCTGTCAACGCTTCCTGTATCAACTATGCACAGAATCTTTCTTAGTTTCTTTCTTTGCTCATTACTCCATACTCTTTATACGGACTCAGTATGATCCCTATGCATTTGGGTGGATGAAACTCCACATTTACAAAAGCATTCAATCTTGTCCAGATAGAAAACAATTTTTCTGTAGACTTAGAACTCATACAAGGTTAATAAAAATTTAGTTTTCCTAAGATGTTCTATGGAATAAATAATTCCATCGCAATTAACTGATGTCTGCTCAACCTAAGAAAATAACTCCATAAAGTAACTTAAACAAGCTCAAACGAGCAATTCTCTATCACACATTTTACAAATATAATAGAATTGAATTTTGAGTAGCATATGAAGTGAGGAAAGAAAGTCATCTGTTCAATGACAATTTCTTTTTCTTAATAGTAAATAGAAAATGTTAATATTAAGTTTCAGAGTAATTTTAGATAATTAAAAGTTATTAAATTTTATTAATTTTTTATATGAAAAATAAAAAGTGATAAATATATTTTATTTTTTCTATTTTAGATACATTAAATTAATTTTAAAGTTGGATATGAACAAAATTGATATTAAATATTAATATTTTAAAAATTATGTAAGTTGTACAAGAAATATACAACTTATATAAGTTGTGTTTGAAAAATTAGGACTTACGCTTACTATAAGAATTAAAATATTTTTATAATTTTCCTGAACAATAGTCAACTACAAGGCAGTGTAAGGCGTATTAGAGACCTATGACGTCATATACGAGACATATGATTTCCTGTACATACTTTTTGAAAAAATAGAAAGTCAACTTAACTTTTTAATAACAAAATTAAAGAAAGATAGACATCAGAAGTCTTGACCTTTGCTTAAATTTTTTTTTTTTAGAGTACGTCTCTAATATCTACTTTCTATATAAAATTAAATAAAAAATAATTAATTATATAATTTATTAATATAAACTTATTTATTTTTTAAGAGATATATATTAACAAGTTATAATTATAGTTTTATTAAAATATCTTAAAAGTATAAGTGAGTAACATATTTTCAATAATATGATTGTTTCATAATAGTTCTGTCATTTATATTTCTATTCTTAAGTCTGACCACGTGGGTTTGTGGTTAAAAATCAGGAGTAAGATTGTCCCTGTAAAGAATAATAACACTTTTAAGTTTTTAGCTCCTTAGCTGTCCTATAGTAATTTTCCTTCTTAGGTAAAAAAGGCTTGGATTAGATCTAATTTTTGGGTGGACAATGTGTGTAGATTTAAGAAAAATATTTCTGATTGGAATTAAAATATTTTTGATAACATTTTCAAAAGAAAACATCGTATTTTCAGCCGCATTTAAGGTAATTCTCACTAGCTAGCTGCTAGGAGTAATCCTTTTCTTTCCAACCTCATGGTTTCCTTATGGAAGAAGTACCTTTTAATACTAGACCAAGAGGAATGTTACTGGTTTCATTATCATAAAGTTAATTGGCTCAATCTTGGAGACAAAAATATTAAGTTTTTTTCATAAAGTAGCCCAAATTTGTAGACACAAAAATATTATAGAAGCCTTAAAAGATGATAATAATAGGTGGAAATATAACCCTTCTAAACTTGAAGCTTTGGTCATCCAATATTTTCAGAACTTGTATCATGATCTTAACCCCTCTGGTTTTCATCTTGATATTACCTCTTCTTTTCCCCTCCTTAAGGGTACGGATAGAGTTAAATTTCATGCTCCTGTTTCTATTTTAGAGATTAAAAATGGCTTGTTTAGTATAGGAAATTTTAAATCTTCAGGGCCTAATGGTTTGCATGCTTTATTTTTTAAAAACCAATGGCATTATCTTGCTCCTTTCATCTCTGACTTTGTTATGTATATTTTTAATAATCCTCATCATATAGTTGACGTTAATAGTACAACTATAACCCTTATTCCTAAAACTGATTGCCCTAAACATGTATCTAATTTTAGACTAATTTCTCTTTGTAATGTTAGTTATAAAATCATTACTAAAATCATAACCAATAGACTAAGAGATTCTTTGTCTTTGTTAATTTCTGAAAATCAAAGTAGTTTTGTTCCAGGTAGGCAAGGGATTGACAATTCTCTTATCCTTCAAGAACTCCTTCACTCCTTTAATAAACTTAAGCACAGTTCTGGTTTTATGATATTGAAATTGAATTTAGAGAAAACCTATGATAAGATTAGGTGGAGTTTCATTCTAGATATTCTCCTTAAGGTTGGTCTTGACTCTTCTTTATCTAATCTCATTTATG